CTGGCTCTGCTTCCGCCCGGCCTGGCCTGGGACTTTGTTAGTTGAGCCCCCTCATCCTGGAGACTCCTATCCTCCATCCAGTACTTGCTTTGCTCGGGATCCAACATGTGCCAGCGCACGGTCGTGATCCTGTCTGGTTCTTCCTTCGGCTCTTCCTTGCGTTCCTGGCTATCGGATTGTGCCTGGTGTCAGCCAGTATTTTGAATCATCTCATCCGCCTTTGCTATGCACCTGGAGGGTTGAACGAGGGCCTTGAGTGGGCACCATACCTACACTTATAGCCAGATCCATTATTATAATGAACGGCAAAGAAACCTTAAAAGCCCAAGGGCAACAGCTTCCAGTAAAATCGACCTTACAAAATGCTTGTCATACAACACACCTGACCGCTGTGTTCTTACGACAATTCTCATGCTCAAAATTGCTATTTATTTACGAGAGACGTTACTCTACCTCAAAGACTAGCGAACCATCCAGTGTTTAGGCATTGGAAATGGCTTCTAAGTACTTGGTAATTTTGTCTGCACTGCCACAATAAAAAAATGACCCTTCGCAAAAGTCAGTAGATTTTCAGGTGTAATTTACTGTATCCAATGGCCTATATTGTATAATCCATGTTGATATTGTATCTGGATCGATGTGTGTCACTAATTAGTCTTGCTTCCTCGAGCTGACTGTTTTTTTTTTCTTGCCTCTAGACAGTGACCAAGGTCCCTGCTAACTGGTGTCTTAACTCGAACATGTGTTTTTTAAATGTCATAAATCCGTTTTTCTCTTATGGATGCGCCGTGGAGCGGATTGTTTAAACTCAATTTGTTACGGACCTGTCGCTTTGCTTCTAGAACAGAACGACTGATTCATTTTGATTAAAAAGATGAAAAACTTTAGACCACGGTTTTTGTCCACTATCATCTCCATAACCTGCTCATATCTTCTGATCCAGTCGGGTTGATATATTACGTTGGACCTGATTCTCTGCGCACGGCAGTTATAGGCTCCAGGACACATGCTGTTAGTAGACCATCAACAGGAAATAATTAAATAACATCAATAGGAAAAGTCATTTGCCCCCCCCCCTCTTCTGCACTTTCCTCTTCGCCTTCACTTTCACTATCCAATAGAAGACAAGGTGCCTTGTTTGTTTGAGGATTTCTACAAAACATGTGATGATCACAGTTATTGATGGTCTGGTTTAATAAGTGGTTTTGTTTGAAGTTGTGCAGAACTTGTCTGTGTCACCATTTCACAGAATATGATCAAGACGTGACAATAGCCAAATTGTCCAGCAGGGGCCACTGTGGAGATTGATGTGCTCCAAGCGCGTCCAGGCGCGACCCCACTGCATGGCACTACCCAACACCGACTCCAGTGCGAGCTCCACAACTATGCTCTTTTGTACCCAACTCCCACTCATCTAAGATGTGAGCAAGTGCCATCAATAAACGACTTCAATTTCATTGCTTTTAAACACGAACGAATCATCAAAGCTCTGTTGACTCAGAACATACGACTAGTATAGGTGACATACTTCACAGGAAACGGAGCGTCCGCGACAAGCTCCAAATAAACAATACACGCAACATTAAGATACAAAAGTGTTAGTTATAAACCCGTCTTTTTACGCGAATCATCAATACAAGCACAAAGACTTCAAATGTTTCACGAAGTCTCGCTTTGCTCATCACTAGTATGGTGACAACTTCACAGGAGGTCCGTATCTCAGCACTGTCATAGTTAAAGGTGACCTTCATAAACTGAGAAACTGACATTAATGTTTGCCACAGGAAATCCACATTTACTCCTAACTAAGGGTTTAAATGCACAAAGGGCAAAAATAAGACAAAAATAAGACAGGAAACAGACACTGAGACAGAGACTACATTGTCAAACATTCATTTTTGCCGCAGTAAAACCACATTCACTCCCAACTACGCGTTTGAATGCACAAAGAGACAGAGACTGAGACAGAGACGAAGATAAAATCAAAACTTTTTTTTGTTGCACCATATTTAATGAAGCCATGCAAAACGTTACCTTCATAGTATGAACTTAAAGGGCAGCGTTATAGACCCTTGAAGTTCACCTGTGTGAGTGCAAATGTTTTTGTTTTGTTTCATTTGTCTTATTTTTTGAGGCATTTCTCAGGACTCACAGCTAGAAGATGAGCCTGTATATAAAAAAGGTGACTAACTTCTTTTTAGCATGATGACACTCTTGGAAGATCATCAACTTTTTAGGTCAAACATTTCTTCTGTTACTCTCCATCATAGGAATTAAATTAGTAGATTTTATCTATTTAAATCATGATGTAAAACCATGATACTGATGCTCAAAATCAGTTATAGAGAAAAGAAAATCTGAACAAAAGCAAGATTTTGCTTTAGACTTTGATAGTTGGAGGTGGTGTAAAACTCAGTTTTAGCAGAGCCTAAATTTGAATCAATAAATCATTGAATATTATTGTAGGCTTTACACTGAGGTGCTAAAACGTTATCTTAGTACAGTTGTCACATGCCATATAACATGGACAAATGGAAACATGCTTGTATTTATTGATTGAACAGGTTGATCTAAAAGTGGTCCACATTACTAAATTAGACCTGGGGGGTCTCCACATTTTCAATTTCAGTGACCTTTAGTAAAAACTCACCATTTGAAACTCTGACCTCAAAGTCAAAGTATGAATCTGGAGCAGAAGATCTTCCCAAACCACACCTGTACATTCCTGCGTCAGACTTGATCATTTGTGAGAAGCTTAAAAACACAATTCCTCTTCTTGGAGATCCATCTTTATACTTCATGCTGTATCTGCCACTCTGAGCTGTGCTTCCATCTGTTTTAATGAGGATATCTTCTGCTCGCTCACATTTTTCCTCACAGAAGAACTTTGTGCTTCCAGACAAAGATAAGTTGCAGTTAAGCGTGCCATTAAATCCTTCAGCTGCAGACCAAATATTATGTTTTGCCTTGACGAGCCCAGCTGGACCTGTCAGATGAAAAATAATAATAATACATTTAAAACAAGATGGATAATCACAACATTATTTAGTGTATGTAGATATTAGACTTGTAGTCAAGACTGAACCAAGACCAAGACAAAGTTGAGACGAGACCGAGACAAAAAAGTCTTTAAACTGCAGCCAGATGCTGCTTCGTTTACGGGTTTCAGGCATATTTATGTGTTCTTGCTTTCACACAGCCCTCCTCACTGCTGTCTACTGTCTCACTCACTTACTGAGAGGACAGACGCACGCTCCACTTGACTGTCGCGTCTCTCACCCTCTCTGTTTTTCACACAATGATATTATCCTATATCCTCACATGTGATTGGCCACAATATGGAGGGATTGGAGCATAGCTGAGCCACTGTGTGAGAGCTGAGCAGTGAAAGGAAATTAAGTGAGGAGCCGGCTCTCGCTCAGTGGGAGTCGACTCTTCTGATTCACTACAAAGCTCTCTCTAAGCACGGCTCTTAGAGCTGATGCTTTTGCAGATGACACATTATCGAACGTTATGTTGTGTGTCATGGATACTGTTGACTCCAAATCTCCCGACCACTATGTCGAGCTGAGACAGCGAGACTGAGACAGCGAAACCAAGACAAGACCAAGACCACGTAAAAGTGGATTCGAGACCAAGACCGGTCTAAAGATATCCAGCTCTAGTAAATATATGTATTTCATAAGGTGTTTTATAAAGTTGAGTATGTTTTTAGTTAAAATTAAAGTTAAAGAGCAACATTAAGATCATCAGTCCTCACCTGACAAGAAGCAGAAGAAGAGAAAATGGAGGATTTTCATTCTGACTTTAATCCTGATGCAGAAAAGTTGTTAAACTTCAGTTGTCGGACCATGACACACTGATACATCCAACCACTGCAGAGTCATCATAAAACTTCTGAAGATGGCAAACTCAACATGAACAATTTATAAAAGACTCCACAAAGCTGGGTGGGACAGGCCTTGAGGACACAGCACTCATCTGGTCTGGTCCAGCAGACGTGCTTGACTGGAGTCTTCTCCTTTGTCTTTGAATCTGGTCACGAGTGGAAGTGAATGATGGAGGAGAGGCAGCAATGGTGCGTTTTCACCTTTTTCGTCACCTTACAAGAGTGTGCAAATTGTGAGAGTGACGGGACGGGACTGAAGACGCCTCGAGGAACATAGTCACTAGTAGTGGGTGGATTGCAGCACGCACCTGGCTACAGGTCTAGAGTCAGCCGAGCCACTGGGGGACAGCGCAGCATTCAGTCTTTGCAGCTGCTCGGAACTGTTTAAAACGACATTCAATTATCTGGCTCTGCTCCTCACTGTCCTCCAGTCTCCTCTGTTAGTTGGATCGGCTTGAAATCCAGTCGGCGCTTCGGTCTTTCATACCACAACCGCTGCGTCTCATGCTGCATCGCTGCGCGATGTACAGCTAACACCCTGAAACATTCCTAGGCCTCGCCTCCTCTAATCGCACCGCTCTGACGACGCCCCGCTTTCTTTAGTTATACAGCATGGCGAGACCTTTCCTTTGATGATCCTATTTCTTAATAGTCCGTCATCCTCACACCGCTTTGTCTAATTATCGGAGTAGGCACGCCTGGGAGTGTAGGGGTAAGCAACAATATATGATCCTCTCAGATGACGTCGAAGGACAATGGGAACACTCCTCTGCCTTAGCACTGGATAATCTACATTGTCATGTTTTTATCTACTTCCATGTATACAGACTCTACCGCAGAAAGTTCTATCTTGCACGAGCAACAAATTATTGGAACGATGTTCATTCACACAACAGCGGCATCACCATCCATGCTTATACTATGCACGCTACCCTGATTGCATCAAGTTTACAGCTGATATTTGGTGCAGTGGAGTAAGATCCTAATAGATCCAGAAGACCAACAACGAGTCTCCGCAATGAGAGAGTAATGGGTAGGGGTTGTCAATCGCCGGGCGGGGATCCATTGTTGGTGATGTTG